TCATTGATGCTATTTAATTTATAACAAAACCCAACAAACACAGAAATAAAGAAATACTTTTGCAAGCCACTGACTGATTAAAATTCCCCAACAAATGCAATTCAATTGAATATTTTTTTAAGTAATGCAAGCAAATGGTGACTCAAATTATAAATCACTTTCTTCCATTTAAAGCAATCTATTGTACTGTACTAACAAAATCAAACTTTGTGACCGATCAGTAATAGGGAACATGATCAGTGGTTTAACATCTGATATAGGCAGTAACAATGTTAAAGCTGAAAATGTTTGAGTTGAATGAAATACTTTGGCTTAACACCGAGGAAAGAAATGACCTTCTTGTTCGCTGCTTTGCACCTTATACAGGTACTGATGCCAGTGTAAACTGAGTGCAAATGAATACACAGGGTGGAAAGCAGTGAAAAACACTGAGCCAAGAAGTTTCTTTTGTTTTTAAGTATTGAAATATAATTAGTATCGTGACAGAATGGAAACCAAGATCCAAAATTTGTACTTAACTGCTTCTAAATACAAAATTCAGGAGACAATGGTGTTTGGAAAAAGTTTAGAGTTTTTTATGTCAAACTCAAAGGCTGGCACATCTCTTAGCCTGCATTTCCTTTCAAGTACTTATGATTTTCTGTTTCTAATGTCAAAAGATTTCACTTCCATGATTAAAGAGCTCTCATACACAGTTTATCTCCAACTCCCATTTAATCCTGCAGTGAAGCCAAAAGCTATATGCAAAATCAGAATTATTCTCAGAGCAACAGATTATATTGTTCAATAAAGGATTAGACCCTCACTTTGGAAATCAGCAGAAGTTATGAAGAAGTAAAATCTTATTCATACATAAATCTTGAACAAAAGGTTTAGCAAAAGGGAAAAATGGAAAATCGGTGAAGTAAGGTATCCTTTGTTTAAACACACACATTATATTAACCAAGTTTGAAAAATGTTTTAAATTCAAGTCTTGAAGAAACATGTTTGATTTTTTTGTTTATTCTAAGCAAACTGAAACAATCAATAGTAGCACTGTATACATTTTGTGTGTGTTATGCGTATTAGTTTGAAAACATTGTATGTTTGGTTATTATGGTAAAGCTGAGAAAATTTCAAGCTAGCTACATTAGAGGAAAGCAAAGAGCAGCAGCAAAATAGCAGCCTTGCAAACATCTAGTGCTTGATTCTATTTTATAATTTCATTACAAGTTAAATATGCACTAAAATTTAAGATGCATTGTGGTTTGTAAAGAAAGTTGCATAACACAATAAAAACACATCTCCAATTGACAGAAAATATTTAAGCATCTCCCCCAAATATGTCTAGTTTGGCAGTAACAAGCAAGATGCATCAAAGGATGTAAATATCCAAAAAAAGCTTCAAATCCCACCTGATGATCCAAATATATAGCATTCCTTTGAAGATGATGTGAAAGAATCTCATTCTAGCAGGCAGCAGAACAGAAGAAAAAGGAAAGGGACAGAAGGTACAGAATGCATGAAAAAGTCAGTTGAAAAGATATAAAAACAGCTCCTCATCTTTCAGTTTAATTAGAAGCTGTAATACTAAGATTTTATATATGTGAGGGTAAACTTTTAACATGTTTTACACCCAAGTAAGAACTGTTTATGAAAACCAGCTGCGACTTAACTATGAACTGCTACAGTACAATTTAAAAAAAGCCAAGCACATCAGACAGAGAAGCAGAGATACAAGAAGTAGGTATATTTTGTTTAATGAAACTATTGTGCAATTTACTTGATTGAATTATTTAGCTGTTTGCTTAACAGAACACATGTAAGAAATCAGTATGTCCATGTGGAAATTCTATATATGACTACATAGACAACTATAAACCCTTTGATAAGATTACATGCTTTAAGGATCATCTGTCCTTGCAGAAAGATAATAGAAAAGTTGTATCTGGCCTGAAGGAATATTAAGAAAACAAATTAATATTATGGTCCTCTCTCAATACACTTGCTTATGGCATCTGTTAACTACCTATTTGAGGATAATATTTTACCTCATCAATTTGCATAGCTTATAATTTTTTTCCAGATACTGCAGAAGCGATATATTTAGAAGTGTTCCTACCTATATTTTGACTAAGTAAAACAGTCATAAGCGTTGTGTTCAAAGGGTTAATAGCAGAACATCATGTATGCAAGGAAACAATGGCATTCTATGCTACATCCACAGCTAATCAGAGAACTTTGCACTAATGGAGCAATGCACACTTTGATTATGAATGGCTCAAAGTTAGTGAGGATGGTACATGACACACACCATTTCATAGCTGACCTTTGGGCTGCTGGCCTCAAGTTTTAGCTGCATGAGCTGTGCTAGTGTGTGTTCCCGGATACTACTCAGTTCAGCTTGCTGCCGTCTCAGCTTTATTAGCAGCAGTGTGAGCTCCTCTGGCTGAAGGAGTGCAGTGTGAGAAGCCAAAGAGTGGAAAATAGGTTAATTGGTGTCCTAAACAACAGTTAATCCAACTATGGGTTCTTGGCATTTTGTCATAATTCATAATTGTTTACAATAATATGCCAAAAGTGATACTATGTTTAAAAGGCCCCAACGAGTATTTAGGACATAAGATCAAAATGGAGTTTTTAATAACTCATAGCCCTTGAACCTGAAATAGTCCCGGATGCATTTCCTATAGTGGACAAAATGAAGGTTAGCAGTTTGCAGGAAAAATGATCTATGTAGTCCCTACAATGATTGAGCCTACAAATGTTAAGCACATTATATAGTCGCATAGCTTTAGGTGAAGAAGATATGCCAACCCACCAGAAATCATCATCATCTGTACCACAGCGTTTATTTGGAAATGGGGAAAAGAGAAAATTAAAAAAAGCAAAAGGGAAGTTTACTATTCATAAAAAAGAACAGTCAAGGCCAGCAGACCTTACTTTCCCTTTTAGCTGTTTAAAATGTGCCCGGGTAATACAACAACCTTTTTCCAAGACATACTTCCAAGCCATATTATTCAGTTCTAAGAATAATCAAACTGCAAACATGTGTGTAACAGGACAACATCACAAGCACAAAAGAGTTTCTTTTGCCATCCTCCCCAAAGGTTTATAAGCAGCAAATCTACAAAATACTTAGTATACTTTTATAATCACCTACAAGTTATAAGACGCTCTCAACAAATAAAAATAATGAGCAGTTGCAGTCTCCCGGATAATTCTAAACAGAACATTTTAGAACAAAAATTAGGAACAAGTCAACCTGATCAATTTTCAGGATATCCTCTCATTAGCAATACTTGCAAAAACAGTTTTTTCCTTCCTTTCTTTTTCAAACCACTTCTTTGTTCCTTTCCCATACTTTCCCACTTATAAAAGAGGTTTTATAAAATAATTATTTCCACAGTGATCAGCTTTTTTGGCAGTTGTGCAAGTCAGCTAAAAAAAAAAGAACAGCAATCCACATTTTCTGCAAAGTCTGTGCATTTTCATTCAAAAGGCGCAAAGCAGTAAGAATTAAAAAAGAAACTAGAATTATTTAGCTAGAGGATGTCCACTAGAGGGTGCAAGGAATTGTAACATAACTACTGGTATCAAAAACCTTTATCTTTCACTGAAAAACAATATGAAAGTCAAGTTGTAAAACAGCTTATTTTTATATTGGCACTGTACTTGCTCTAGGATCAATGGCTGGAGTAATTCTTCCATCAAGAATGTATTAAGCACTTAGGCCACATACTTTCATACTACAACATACTTTCAAATTTGATCCCAGCAAAAGCAGACAAACTGCTGGATAAAAAATGAATTTAATCTGAAATGGAACTGCTGTGTCTTCATGACATTCATAGAAAAACAGAAATTTCAGTAATATCTTTGTATAGATATGCAAGAATCCAATTAAAATACTTGCAGGGTTGAAAGCATTTGCTTATGGATGTTTTACATAGATCTACTCATAATTTGGAAACCAAATTGTACATTTAAAGCTAAATTATTTTTATGGCATACTAATACAAATGCTAGTTGCAAGTCTCAGATTTCAAATTCAGCTTGAGATTCATGCCACTGCAAAAACTCCTGATATTACTTCGAGTGTTGTGATTTCAAGCCAATTCCGGGGGCTTTTGTTGCAACACACAAGCATCTTAGGAGTTTTCCCCATCAGCTGCTGCTATACTGAGTACCCTTCTCTTCCTATCCAATTCAGCAGCTTCATTCCAGCCCCACAGTGCAGGACTAAGTGAAGAGATAGGGAGCCCAGGAAAGTTCTCTTCCTACATGGTAGAGACAGGAAGCAGCTAAAAAGGGAAGTAAGGAGCAGCTAAGACAGTCTGCTGTGGATTGGTGAGGATGGATGCAAGAGTCAGGGATCAGATTTGCTGGGTCATATATGGATTTAAGGTTCAATTTCCAACTTAAATCTGTCACAAACTTTGGGTAGGCATGGAGAATTCAAAAACCTTTAAAACTGGCTTAAATGACTTAAGCATTGCCTGAATTTTAAGTCAACATCAGACTTTTTTGAGGAGTAAGGGTTGAGGGAGGACTGAGTTATATTTGAACTCATGCATAGGTTCATTAATCAATATTAATGAAAAAATTCTGATCAAAGGAAATACATCATCCTATTACTAAGACAAATGCTCAGTATGGGCAAATAAGAAAATATTATTTTCTGACTATACAGTATTCAGAAAGAAAGAGTTCTTTGTCACAATGCCATGCTGGAGAAATCTAAAATAGAAAACTTCTTGCTAAAAGAATTTTTTAAAATAAGGTAATTGTAATGTTTCAGAAAAGAACTCAAGAAAATCTAAGATAAAAACCACGTAGAATCTTTGCAAATCCTCAAAGTAACCAAACAGAATCACTTTCTTCAGCGTGGAAATCTCTATTTAAAACAAAGCCTGCATGTAACCGTTGCTCCCCAAACAGTGGGGAAAAAACAATAGTGTTGCATATTTTCATTAATAGACGATATAAAACCTGATGTACCTCATAAAAATGCCACTCACCGTTTTGCCTTGAAGACTCTGGGGAGTAATAGGCTGCAAGCTCAGACCTGCTGGCATTGACCTTCTGTCAGGCACGAACACAGTCTATGAAAAACAAAATTGCATATTATAATCCATGATTGTCTGCCAAAATCTTTTGCACTAAAGGTTAAATATGAATTTCTTAAATATAATTTTTCCAAGTCAACTTCATTTGTAGGACAGGTGCCAGAATGACAGCACTGGTTAACAGAGCCTCCTACTAAATTACAAAACATTCAGCACAACTCAATCTTCCAAGGTATCTTGCGGCATCTTAAACTGCTTTGAGACGCCACAACAGGCATGTGCTCACTTGTCTGGACGTGGCCATTGAGGCTAACAGAAATTCACTGGGGATTCAGGTTTAAAATTTAAGTTTAGCTTGCTGAGCTGGCAAGGGATAGCTACCAGTCTTACAGAGGGTCTGCTGCTGGAGCCAGGTGCAAGTGATCTTACCAAATAACTTAGCAGCACCAAATGAGAGAACCCAGAAACAAAGAGCCAGTCTTACTGGTGACTGAAGATGAGATAATTTCAGCTTCAGCTCTGTGAAGACTTAGGTCTTATCATAATTTCCAAAGACCAGCCTAGAGCTAGAATGCAGCCTCAAATTCCAAATGTATTTTCTTTCAAAACTCACTTGGATGGTCTCAAATATTGTGATTAATGAGTACGCTGATTTGCTTATTGCCCCTTGACGCAATATGAAGGTACAGCATACGTAGGGTTAAATCTTATATTCTTAAAATAAGATTTTCTATCCTTTGAACAGAGACAATTTCTTTCACCACTTACATAAGCCACACAGTTTGATAAACTACACTTTCCTTTTAAATAAATATTAATTGTAGTAATTCTCTTCAATGGCTACATTAACAAGCAATTGCATCTACATTATAGTGAAGCATGTATTACTGCAGAATATACAAATATGATTAATACACATTATAGCAGGAGTTAGTAAAATACAGCCCGTGGCCAGATCCAGCCCACCAGTTGACTGGATCCAGCCCATGGCTGTCCCTGTGGCACTCCACATGGGGCCATGCCCTGCCCACTCATGCCGGGATAGCCTGTGCCAGGCTTCCACCAGGGCTTACAGCTTAACCGTAGCCCACACGCGCAGCTTTCGGTGGGCTGTTTCCAGTATGGCTGCAGCCAGGAGCTCCTGTGTACCCCCCACCTCCAGCAACGGTTCCCGCTCATGATCTTGCTCTTGCAGTGCTGCACCGCACTACTCTAGAACAGCTTTAGCTGGGCAGCTTCTGCCCCAGCACACAGGGCTCAGGATCCAGATCCCAGCCACCTTCCACCAGAAAGCACTCAGGAGCTGAAGCTGGAGCCTCACACCTGCCA